CTGCAACCAGCATCGGTCCACTCCGCTGCTCCTTACTTCAAATTTCAATTCATGGTACGGGCTTCCAGCCCCGCATGACAGGGATGACCACTCACCCCACCCAGGGTGCAGGGGGGCTCAGCTGGAAGAGACTCCCAGGCTCTCAAACATGTTCTGCCCTTTTGGGACTTTGGTCTTGTTTCCAGCCCGTACTCCGCAAGGCTGTCTGTCTGGTCCCTAATAAGCCTGCACTGACAATCCCAGCCTGCCCCCCAGGAAGGCCCCATGGCTGGCCAAGGGCTCTGTGCCCTGAGGACCCAGCTCTGGCTGCCTTGTCCCTGTGCTCTGGCAGCAGAAAACTGGCCACTGGTCCCTGCGGTCAGCTAGAGAGGGTCTTTTCCCCAGCAGCTCACCAAAGCAGAATAAAGTCATCCACTCTATTCCCCATGTCCTCACACATTCCAACCACAGAAGCACAGAAATACAGGCCTCCCTGGTCTGTGGAATCCTGTCATAGGGAAGGAGCATCAGCTGTGGGCTTTCTCTCCATCCCGACACTGGGCTGCAGTTCCCTGACATCAGGACCCAATGGGTATTAAGTACCCACTTCTGCAGAAGGAACCCGAAGTCCTTGTGTGTGTGGGTATATGCATTTTAGATTCAATGGCACTAATTCTGCATTCTGAGGTTTATACATAAACTAGAGGCCCCATGCACTGGTGGGGTCCCTCGGCCTGGCCTGCACCCTCTCACAATCTGGGACCCCTCAGAGGATGTCAGACTGCTGGTTTTGGCCCAATTTCTGCAGGCCAGGCCAAGGGATCCCACTGGTGCACAAATCTGTGCACCAGGCCTCTAGTATGCATATAAGATCTTTGGTTAATCTCCCCTTCCCCCCTCCCCTCTGAGATTCATCAGTCTGTGTCTGCCCCCTGGTGGTCAGGGCGCATCATAGTTACTGGTCAAACAGTCAAACGGTTGAACAGTCACTTAGGCTTTTATATATATAGACAGTCCTCGGTTACGTCTGACTCAATATATGTCGTTTCGTGGTTACATTGCCATTTCCCACTTATTTATAAAAAAAAAAGTTCCATCATTTCGACGTATGTACATATGTGCTTTATGTTTTTTATTATTTATTTACCACAAGTAAAGGTCAGGAATTGTTATCTTTCTTTTAATTTTTTTTTACTGTTTCACTTCATTACTGCTGTGTATGTGTTCCATGTCAGTGACATAGGTGCTTATGTAGGTGGGTTCTGACTTACGGCAAAAATTGCATTATGTAGCGCCATAGGAACGGATCTCTGACGTAACCCGAGGATCCACTGTATAGATATGATTTCAGGGGACTAGCCATATCTCTAAAGAGGAAAAATAAACTCCTGGAGAGCTGCTCTATGTGTGGGAGAGGCAGCGAAGCTGTCAGCTTGTGCTCTGGGCTCAGCAGACCAGCTCCAGTGCTGCACTGGTTTTGAAGGCAACACACGAGCTCATTCAGGGGTGGGCCAGAGGGCCAGGAGGGTGAAAGATTTTTTAAAAATGAAATGTCATTATTGGAGGTGGTGCAGCCAAGCCTCAGGAAGTATCTTCAGGCCTTGGTGCCTCTGCTCGCTAGTGGTGGGGCAGGGAGGGCACCTCCCCAAACCCAGAACCTGCCTCCACCTCCCAGGGTTGCCCCTGCCCACCCAGCCAGAGCCTCCACCCAGCATATTGGTGCTCCTTGTCTGACTGGATTCTGGATCTCAGGGTAGGATGAAGCCGGGTGTCACCCTCAGCTGGGAACCTGTGAGGAGACACCCAGCCCTGACCCTTGGCTGCCCCCCAACCCCCCTGTCCACCATGCATCTCACTCTGGCTGTCTTGGTCTTTTATTTTTTTGTAAGTGTCTTTTGTATAACTAAATGCCCATGATAGTAGCTTCAGACTGGAAAGAGCAAAATAAAATAACACAGAACAAAACAAAACAAAACAAACAAACAAACACTGTGTCATTAAACCAAAAGTAGGGCAGTGGTCTCCCGTTTCTTTTGATCTAAAATTAAAATTCTTTCTCCTGACTTAAAGGCCCTACACAAGCCATGGACTCTCCCCCTCCTCCAACCATTGTCATTCATGGCACTGACCCCACCCCATCTCTGTGCTCCAACTGCTTGAGCCTTTGTTTCACCTGCTGAACACACCCAGCTGTTCCCACCTCAGGACCTGCGGATCCCTAACCTGGAACACTCCATCCCTATCACCTCATGGGTGGCTCTCTGTTGTCCTGCAAACCTCAGCTCAAATGTCACCCTACCCTCCATCTCTTATCTACTTAGGCACTCCTACCCCAAATCTACCATATTACCTGTTTTATTCTCTTCTCACCACTAGTTACCATTTTCTGTTCATTTACATGTGCCCTCTAGATCTCCTAGCAGATAGCCTATCTGTCTTATGTCTCCACAGCATCTAGGGAACCCAACTTACAGGAAATGTTCACAGAACACTTGTAAATGAATGGTTGTTTAGCTGGACAGGAGAATGCTGTCTCCAGATGTTTACAGATGTGTTGTGAGAAGGAAGAGTAGTGCTATTTGGTTTCCCCAGTGGATATAAACTGTGGACTGGGAGGCCGATTTCAGCTCCATATGAGAAAGAACGAGCAAACAGGGGTGCTCAAACGTGGTGGTGGGTGTGACCTGCCTAGGCAGGGGAGCTCCCTGCTGCTGGAGGCATTCAAGCAGAGGCTGGACACCCTTGGCAGGGATATTGCAATGCTCTGGACCAGGCTCTGCACTGGGCAGGGCCTAGGATAGAGGATGCCATCAAGTCCTCCTCAACCCTAAGAGCTTGTTACTGCACATTGAGCCTGACACTCCCCAGTGTCAATCTCCAGAGTGGGGACTGAGGGACTGTTTCCTGAAGGACTTAGGTAGGTCCCACCTTTATTCATTGACTCTTGTGATTTTATTTTTATTGAAAAGATAAATGCCTCAGTGTAATGTTTTCTCACCTATAGCAGAACTCCTGGGAGCTTTGTTAAAAAGCTGGATTCTGGGGCTTCCCAGTTCCATCCAATCAGAATCTCTGGGGGCGAGGCTCAGGAATCAGGATCTGATCAAGCGCCCAGGTGCTCCTTGTGCGTCCTAGCATTGGGGGACCACTGTTTCTAGCTCTTCTGCCCCTGAGTTACATGGGGAGCAGCTGCTCCTAAGATGAGCTGTGGAGTCCCACCTGGTGGCCTTGACCTAACTGAGGTACTGAATGGATGCAGAGAAAGCAAAGACTATTAAAGGACAAGGAACCACCCAGTTCACCAAGATTTCTAGAGGAAGTTGGGTACCCCTAGAGCCTCTAGAGCCAAGATTTCTAGAGGAAGTTGGGTACCCCTCAAGCTGGAGAAAGAGTGTGTGCAGCCTTTGTAAAAAGCAGCACAAATAGGAGGAATACCAGGATACAGATGTGAGGGGTATTCAAGTCAACCCCACATTCATTATCTCCCGGTGGATGTTACAGAATTGTTTAGAGCGGGGAAGCTAGAAGGACCAAGATCATGTCCTGCATTGTAAGTAACATGTTACCAAAGGAAAAA